ATACCCTCTAGGTTTTACTTTTTGATTACTTTTTGATAAATAATTCGTTCTTATTGCGAAATAGGAGCACTATTTATCAATCTGTAATAAAAGACATGAGGAAATTATGTCTTTTTTAAAGACAAACATTTTTGAGGCGAAATACCCAAAAAGAAGTTTGTAAAAAATGAATCCGCCTCAACAATATAGAACTTATCTAATTACTTGATTGCACTCTTTTTCTTGAAACGGCCACTAAATCATTATCCCGTTAATGAATGTATCACGTTGGCACCTCGTTCGACTTGGCATAATTTCAAGCGTTTAAATCCGCCTTTGCTTTGATTTCTAGGGCTCCGATAACCAGATGAAGCACCACTTGAAAGGATACTTGGCCGGATTGAGCATCCTCGTCGGCGAAACTGAAAAATCCGAAGTCCTCAACTGTCTGCATCAGTGCAAGGAGAGCTTACAGGTTTGTACAAGAGCTTATGATAATTCTAGTACTTAATAGGAAATGCTTTTAAACGCCGATGAGCTGACTTGGCATTGCATTGATTGCAGGTACCAACTATGGATTTGCTTCAGCCAGGAATGGAATTGCTGACGAACTCGGATTTGACCGAAGTGACTGTTGAAGGCGATAATCGCACTAATTTGGAAATGTTGGTCCGCAAAGTCGGCTACGCCAACACCAGGGAATTTCCCACTCCAGGCAGGCGTAATTTGAAACTGACCACAACCGTTACTTGCGACACTGGAAAGATCGTGAATGTAACTTAAGATTGAAACTGGAAAATTGCCATTTGCTTACAGCGTCTTTTGATTGCAGGTACCGGCGGCGCAAACGTATGTAATGGTTCTGAGGCCTCAAATTCCCAGTATACACTTGAATGGTACCGGTAACATGGCAAGGAAGTACGAAGACTTTAGAATGGGAGTGCGTGTATTAGCGGATATTCATATCACCGGTATGTACGCCGGAGGCTGTTTTTATTTGGTGCTAAATTTTTTTAAATGTAGGCGAACAAAAACTGGACAAATGCCAATTGACTATCTACCCGAACTTGAATCCTGACCACGAAAACTTGGCTGTTCCTGAAGAAACGTTGAAAAGCCTCGGAATGGCTGCCCGTGTTTCAAAGGACGGCGTTACGATTAGTGGATCTGACATGGTTTTTAATTACCAACAAGTAAGATGTTGTCTGTATTATTATTCCTTGATATCTTCAATTGCTCTTTAAGTCGCAAGCCTGTTTTCATTCGTATTCATTATCACCAGTTTCTTAAATTCTTAACTACTATTTTATTGACTTCTTCATATAGATTTAAGATGTATATCTAACGTTTTTCCGTAACACTTTCGATATTTGCAGGTTCTGCGGGAGCTGGTTTACACCAATAAGAAACCCGCATACTATTTAAACAGAGTGTTTAAGCTGACATGTTCTGAATTGAATGGAAGATTCAGCAGCAACGAATACGTGCAAACTGTAAGTATGCAACACAAATCCTTGCCCATTATTGAGCATTGAAAGGGTTTTCTTTCACCGAACTAATTTAATATCGTTTTGCTCCTTAGCTGACGGTTATTCATCCGCAACCCAAAGAATCCATTGTGGCCCATGCTAAAATTAACAGACACAATGTGGAAGTGAGACCAGCTTCTGTTATCTCACGCGATTATGTGCAGGCCAGCCATCTCAATCTCATGGCAAGTGGAGGATCGCACGCTGTTACTATTATTGTGGTTGTTTGTGTCGGTTTCTTGTTGTTCATGATTGTCTTGGGAGTTATCAGGTATTAATTAGGCGATAGCAATTAAAATGTGCCCTAATCAATGCGAAATTTGTGCAGAATCAGAGCTGCCCATCATAAATCATCAAGCGAAGAGGCGCAGGATGGCGAAATGACTTGGGATGATTCGGCTTTGACTATTACGGTTAATCCAATGGAGGTAGGTTTTCCCTTATATGTATTTTATCTTATATGAAATGTCGCACCGTTTCTGTTTGAAGAATGCTGATCATAAAATGGAGCGCAACGGCTGCGGACCGGAAGATTACTCAGAATCTGATCAATCCGACTCAGAAAGTTCATCTGACGAGGACGGGCCAGGAGACCGACCATGTCGCGTGCGCGTCGATTCCTCTGATGAGGTAAGTTGGGCAGTTTAACCAAGTAAAAATCAGGTGAAATTTCGGGGGCGCGTGTGTTAGGAAGAAGATGAAATCCCAGCTTCTACACGACGCAAGCGAGACTATCAAAACGTCTCGCAACTCGAATGGGACAACAGCACAATGTAAAGTGGCGCTGGAGAAAAGGGTAGAATCCTGAACAGGATGGGAAATGGAATCTTAGAAACGCAAATAGTAAACCTTCCATGCAATATCAATTAATAGAATCGCATTTGTAATGGAACTAAAATTCGTTCGTCCTCTGCCCACTCATCCTTGTACACCCTATTCTACCAAGTAGCAAAAAAAATGTCAGTTGTGCTGTTACGCAACCTGTTGTGCCATAAGAGCAGCTATTAAGGCACTGAAAATCCAGGTTTTTCGTCTAGGAACACTATCAGTGCATCTGTTGCATGTGAAATATCAATTTTCGCCATTCTAACATTGCACGGCAGTGTTTTTAGATCTTGAATTACATTGATATCAACAGTAATCGTCCATAAAATTAATGTTAGAGAATATAGTATACAGTATGTTGTATAATGTACTCCCTTTACACTATTTCTTTGTGTAGGAGATAGTCTTCATTGGTGTTTAAGTCAAAGATGTAAAGCGAAATATTATCACGGCGTGTTTTTGCCGCTTTGACTTACTAAAAATAATCAATTACTACATATACGTGGTGATGGTAACTTGGTTATACCAGCCAGTATACCCGCGCTTTAGCCATTTTATATTAAGTTTCGATCAAATGCGGCTTTTATTTTTAACAACTCTAACCATTTAAGTATTATTTTTAAATTCACGTTTGTTTTATTTGTTATGTAACACTGGTTTGTTTTGTTTTGCACTTAATCTATACTACTGTATATTTAGATAAGATTCTAATGGATTTATGAGAAGGTTTTCATCTTCACGCGATTGAGGAATTTATTACTATTAAGATTTCAATATTATGGACACTGAATGCGATGTTTATTTCAACCGGAGAACGAATCAATAAAAAAATCAACTGAGTTGATTGACTTGAGGATAACTTGATGATGACATCCTTCTTCCTGATGACAAATAAAGATGAGCGCCTGCCCCTTCAGAGGGGTTTTGCTTGAAAGCTTACACCGAATTGATGTATAAGCAAAACTACTCTAATGAGACAAGCCACTTGTACTTGTGCGTCATCAGGAAGAAATTCTGTTTCAGAACGGTCTGGACTTTTATTCTGTGTCCAAATAGTTCAAAGTTACAAAAAGCGTTGACTAAACCTGTATGTTAAAGCAGAGCCATTATTATTTCGAAGTAGTGAAAACCGAATATTTCAATTAAATTTTAAATTTAGTAGAGCAGCTATTTATCGATTTTTTGTACTTAACTAGATCTTAAGGCAATCTACAGCCGTTATTCCCTCTATCACTGTTTTAAATGTCACAATAATATTCCAATCATATCAAGTTTTTACGTGTGTGCAATCACTTGCGGCTGTTTGTCGTTTTTGGCTGATTCTCGAATAGATTTTCGCCGTGTAAAATCGAACCCTGATATTTCAGAGTCGGTCAAAACCGATTTTTTGCGTTGTATTTTTAACTGGAGTTTTGTAAAGTTTTTGCACCCCAACCTTGCTAGTAAGGACGGAGCATAACCTCCCAGGTCGCCACACACGTTCTAAATGCAAATAAGGCTTCGTATTAAGCATTGAAGACTGCAGGGGTTGTGTTCCCATAAAATTTAACATAAGAACCTATGTATTCTAACCTAAGAGCCTTTACGCTAGGTTGTTGTCTATTTTTCACCCCAGCCCATTTGAAGACTCGACAAGTTTGGCTGTTTCAATGCTCAAACTTGCCTAATTCTCAATGGAAAGTAGTGTCGATGTTATCTGCCTTCTTTACTCGCACAATTCTTTTAGTTTTCAGATTTAAAAAATATTGACAAAATACGTCTTGTATATACATTATGCAGCTCTAGAATTATTTTTTGTAATTGTAGCGAAATATTATATGGGTACTTAAAGAGAAAAAAGTGCTTTACTTCCCAATATCCCTACATTTGCATATTACCTGGACTAGTATGCATCTATACCGATATCGGGGAAATAGGAAACTTTAGTTTTATTTTGGGATATCGCTAAAATTAAAACTTATACCTAAAACGCAATATTTCTAGTAGATAAATAATATACTTTTTTCAATATCATGTTACGCAATACTATTTACTTTACCTCTATGTTGTATGGCAAAACTCTCCCTCGTTTTCGTTGAAAATTGTTGTTAAAGTAGATCGCTGTGATTTTATGGAGACAAATATTGTTTTTGGATACGGATCGGCACAAAATAAAGCAGATTGGATTTGCGGAACAACAAGAAAACTATCGACAGCAAATACACGAGTATGAGCGAATAATTAATTACAATCGTCAGACTTAACTAACCAATTATTATTGCTTGATTATATAAGTGGCTTATAAATAATCGAACTAATTCAAGTAACTCTATGCGTGTATTTGAAGTCAGAGCGTTTGTAGGGTCTATTGGTTGTACATACAGTTGTAGATGTTAGGAAGTTGTTAGTCGTCTGTTGTTATAAAAAAATCAAATTTTAACCGTAGTTGGAAAAAGTGAAAGAAATACCGAGAAATTTTAAATTATAACAAAAGTTAGTTGAAGCTAAATTCCATGTCCCCACAGTGGAGTCTGAATGGAAGTTTGGTAAATAACACAGTCCTTTCTATCAAATCAAATGTGTGTGGAATTTGCCAAATTTCTCGAAGAAAACTTGTTAGCTCTGAATTTGGTCAAGAAAATCCAGTCTGTCTTATTTTGTCCCCGGCACAGGCGCATACTTCAAGTATCAAGAAAAAGGAAAAGGTACACTATTTTTTATGAAAATACGTAATGACGTACATTTAGGACATTCCATGTAACGTTAAGTATCAGTACTTGCCGAAATTCAGCAACGTTTCATTCAGACGATGGCTAAATCGGTCTGCAGATGAAATTAGGGCTTGAACGGCGCTGAATTTTCGCACAGAGCAGTTTAATTTTAATTTATGTAATGTAAACAAAGAAAAGCTTTTTTGTGTGTTACATTGTAAGAAATAAAAAAATCAAATAACCATGTCTTTTTAGATGTAAATCACAATAATTATGTAACGAATAAATGTATATTAAATATATGTTGTTTGATTAGTGCGAATGTTTCTTTATATAAGCCGCAAATAAACAAACATAAGGGAAAAACGTTCAACATTTATTTTGCGATTTCATCAACAATATACTTAGAATAATTCACATAATAATATATAAATACCTACATAAAGGCGCAATAATATACGTGTTTGATAACAAATGCTGAGTTATTACCTGTAACTTTCACTGTAGATACTCAATAAATATAAATTATCTGGTTATTTAAACAGTAAATTGACAGAAACTGCCCTGCATTTTTATACCAATTCCATAGTAGCTTTCTCTTATTTAAAACCTGAATAAATATATCAATTTTCGCTCTGCATTCTTAGTGTAACCATATTGATTACACTCATGTCTAAATCATGCTTTACTACTCGAGAGTCTACTTCAGAGTAAATTGATACTTTCGGGTCTCAACGTAAGTCTCACACTTTCGAGAGTATTAAAAATCACAACACAAACAACACATTAATAAATTGCGATTTCCAAATACAAAAAATTGTAGGACAAACATCTCACTTACCGAGTTCGGGGTCTGTTCAAATGAACAAAATTGTAACATTTGTATGAAAAAAACCCTAAATAAATAAATAGATAATTTGATTTAAGAACATATTGACTATCTAAGGACGAAATGTTTCTAAATTCAAGAGAAACGTTTAAGTTCGATAAATTTGTGCGAACTACATTACGTCTTATTTAGTTTAGCAAAAAGTCGGTGTATAACTTGTAAATTTTAATTATCTATCTACGATTTTATTGAAATTGCTTGAAAACTAACTCGGTGTACGTTGTAGTGACGAATTGGCACTAACTGAAGTGATGGTTAAATAGAAAAGGAAATCAGTTTTGCTGTAGATACGATATAATATTCACACAGCAAAAAACATTTCCAGTTCGTGCTTATTTTCCTAACGACTGATACATGGAACAACGATTACATGGCGGGGGTTTAATTCCTATCACCCTGTAAATTGTCAGCTTAAAATTGCCTAGATATTAAATGACTAAATATACGTGTTTTAAACTCTTAAAATGATTATCTTCCACTTTCAAGCTGGCGAAACATTTTTAGCTCTATTTGAAGCTTCATTTCATACCTCAAATCCATTGAGTAGCGAACGTATTTTTCGGTAAATTAGTATACTAGTTAATACTTTTCATTTGCAATGGTCGTGTTTGAAACGCTGTAAAAACCTTCAGACTGGAATCTTGGGTAAATTGATAACATTCTACGCGTCAAAGTCGAATAAAATTGCCAAAATCCGAGCTTGAAATGCGTTTTAAACCTCTTTTTTCAATTTCGATACACCCGTGTGTTAATATCAATAAAACACGACGTGTTCTGAAGTGATTCTGGTTTGGAACTGAAGGAAAAGTTTTATTTAATCCAGTTCAAAACCCGCTATCAGAACAGACGTTATTAATTAATTTTGCCATTTTCGGAATCAGTTTACCTGTCTCCGGTTTAAATAGGCTGCCAACATCAAGAATCCTGTGTACTCGGACACCTTTTCCTGTGTAAACTGCTGTTAATTGTTACCCTTCGGTTTCCTGCGTGTTTCCTGCACAGCGGCCACCAGGCTGCGAACTGCTTCCTCGTGTCCTAAAACGAGTATTCTTAAAATTACTTATAATAATAGTACACAATCATGGAATCATCGTTCCAACATCGTTTCTCGGAAATTTTTCAGTTAATAATCTATTGTCTCACCTTCAAAACTATCAGTCTTTTTCAGAGGCCCTGGAGTAGGAGCGCTCAATTTCGCTTGACAGACGTGATGCCGCTTGTGCTTCGGAGGAAACGTTTCCCAACTTCGCTGTTTTTGGGCCAAAGTCTGTGGTGCCCCTTTCTGTCTGCTGCACAAAACACAGCATTAATACTAATAAATTTATTAAAAGTTGATACTGACCGATTGATAACAACCACCAAAGTTTTGTCAGGACCGGTGCCATCTCCCGTAGCGGCAGCATCAGGACTTGAGCGTCTAGATGAAGTGGACAACGAGTCTGCTGAATCGTGCAGAGAGTAAAATATGTTGTCTTCGCCATCGCTGTAGGGATAAACCTGAAAAGCATCAAAATTTGGGAAATCTAAATATGTTGCTTTCTTTAGTACGAACCTTCTTCTTGGACTTTCCCTGTTGATTTTTGTTCTTATTTTTGCACTTGGGACTGCTGGGGCTAGACCGACTGGTTTCATGCAATGATTTTTGAGAGGTCGCATCTGAAATTCTCTGGTACTCCGACTCCACCGATCTGCACTTCTTTTCGGCCATTGCATTGATTTTGTCGCAGCTTTTGCCAATTTTCTTGTAGAGAATGCGTTGCTTCATGGACAATTTGCCTAAAATCCATACATTCGCTTCATGAATACCCAATCACTGTATTTATTTATTTACCGATTCCATCGCCGTCGCCTTTGCTAAACTTGCGCTCATCTTGCTTCAATTTCTTGTCCATTTCAGTGTCGGATTTTGAAGAAGGCTGACTTTGTCTCCGACACATGATGTCGTGAAGCTTTTCTCTGATTTGGGCCTCGAACTTTGAAACGCTACAATTTTGCAATGGCAGCAATCGGTTTTCTAGTGGTTTGAATACCAACCTTTCAACGTTCATCTGAGCCGAGTTGTTGCAAAAGGACTTTTTTGGCGTTTTTTGAATACTAGGAGTGCTTGGCGGCTTTTCTGCGTGGCCTGCTGATTTACTTCGCTCCCTTTCCTGCATGTTGGGGCGGACTTTTTCTAGCAACTGTCCGAGAACTCGGCTTCTAGATCGGGGAATTTTGCCCATGGCGCTGTCGGTTTGCTGGATTATACCTAAAATGAGAATTAAACTAAAAAAATGGCTACTTTTCCTTGAAAACATTCCCTATCCGCCCCTGTGGCCTAGTTACTATGGAAATTTGTTTCATCAATGCTTGAGCCCTGAAGTCGTCAGAGCTTTCATAAAGCGGTGTGTAAAAGATGGTTTTTATAACCGAAGAATTAGTTAGGAAAAGATCTGAACACAACGAAGGTAAATGGATCGCTCCGATAATTGCCAGCATTTAGCCCACTGCTGGATGCATTTCAGGTATTATTGGTACTCTCGAGGAACTGTCGTTGCACCAAGAAGACATAGAAAAAATCGAGCACATAAACAACTGGTGCAAAAAAATCCAAATCCTCTACTTGCAAGCCAACCAGATTTCCAAAATCGAGAACCTGAACAAGCTCAAGGCGCTTCAGTATCTGAACTTGGCCATCAACAACGTGGAAAAAATCGAAAATCTTGAAAGATGCGAATCTTTGGAGAAATTGGACCTCACATTGAACTTCATCGGGGATTTGGAGAGCGTAAAAAACCTAAAGGCAAACCTGCATTTGAAGGATTTATATCTAACTGGTAAACACAAAAACCTTCCCTTTTGTCCCCAATACACTTTCGTGTTATCTGCTTTAGGAAACCCATGCTGTGACTACAAAGGCTACCGAAACTACGTAATAGCGCAATTACCACAATTGCAATGCTTGGATGTCGCTCAAATCACTCAAAGTGAGCGCATTATGGCGCAGCAAAACATCGCCGATGTGGAAAAGGACATTAAAAAATGTCAAGAAAACTACAGGTACTTTAAACGAAAATTAGCGAATCCAACACACGGTTACTTGTTTTTCTTTTAACAAGAATCTTCAGAGAACAGCAGAAGGAAAGATTGCGCAACAACAACAGCGACAGATTGACCGACGCGGAATTTTGGCAAACAGTCGCCGAAAACAGTCCAGAAACCCGTCTGGATATCGCGAAAAGGCAGAAAAAAGGCAACAAAACATGCGAAGTAGATACCAATAAACACAGCAAAAGAACGATAAGGTGAAGTAAAAGCATTCGATGCACACAACGCCAGATTTAACAACGACTCTTTAAATGTAGGCTTTTCAACAAGGAAGGAAAGCCTCTCAACGTAAACCAGGCAAAGTTACAATTCACTTTTACCGACGAAGACCCGAATATCTTCCACTTGGATGTGGCAGTTTATAAGTATCTGGATACCAATCTGATCGACGTGGATCTGCAGCCGATCTACGTTAAAATTACTATAAAAGGAAAAGTATTTCAAATGGTATTTCCTGAAGAAGTGCATGTGGAGAAGAGTACGGCCTTACGCTCCCAAACTACTGGTAATTACCAGACAATTGGTGCTAGATTTCAGTAGCATGAACTAATAAAATAACCATCGTAGGGCACCTCGTTTTAAAGCTGCCAAAATTCAATTACAAAGCACCAATTACGGCTAAACAACCAAATCAAGCGTCAGCAAAGAAGCCCGAAGAGACGAATGTCAAAAAAACTGAATTTCTGGACGTGCACCAAAGCGAAGACATGGATTTTAGCAAAATTGTGGAAAACTACAGAAAGCCAAAAACGAAACTTGATGATAATCCCGAGGTACCGATGTTGGAGTACGCATAATCGCTTTGCGTTCTTAAGAAGTTATTAACAACTCACCAATATGCTCTAATAAATTGGCCAACTGTTGAGCTTGTCCTCCAGCGTGTTGGGCCGGCTCTGCTTGACTTGAAGATTGGCCTAAACCGCTTGATGGCACTGGAGTTAGAGTTCTAATGTACGGTTCCAACTGAGTGGCTACCTAATTTAAAACACACTAATTTACACCGAAAAATTTTTGTAAATTAAATAAAGGAAGAAATCGATATTTTTTGTTTATACATTTAGATTATCTGTAGGTAATTAGAGTAACTTCAAACCTGGCTTAAGTGTTTCAATTCATTCCTTAAAGTGTTAACATCGGCCCTCTGGCAGCTGAAAACTTCCTGCTCCACTCGCAACCTCCATAGCTGCTCCTCCCATGACTGATCGAAAGCTGAAGCCATCCGATCTAATTCCTGCTGTTGTCTGTGGAAAAACCCGGAAATTCCTGAGCATTTCGCAGTTTAATTAAACCGAAACTACCTTTCGAGAGTCTGATCCAAATGAAGACACTCTCGTATGAGCAGCTCGTATCTGGCGGTGAGTGGCGGCGTTTGGGCCTTCCTTATAGCATTTATGTCTCTGAAAGCCAATTAAAACAATAAACAAATATATTTGGAATGTCGTAAAGAATGGGGACATACTTGTGAAGTTCGCCCACTTTTTCCTTGACTTTATTAAACTGCTGATTCAATTCCCTGATCTGTGACTCAAAGGATCGGCAGTGAGCAGAAAACGACGAATCACCTTCCATAATTTTCGATTTCAACGAAGTTTGCTGCTTTTTCGTGGCTGGAGGAGCTGTGTCGTAGATTCGCGACGCTGCAAGATAAACTTTCCGAAATATTAGCATTCATTACAAAATTATTAGTGAATTAATTTAATACATTTGACTAAGTTTTATTCAATGTCCTTACTTGCAGCTAGTTCGGACTGATGTTGGGACACAGCGGCGGCTCCAATCCAGGGCTCTAAACATTGGGCAAACTCGCTGCGGTAATTCGTTTTGATTTGAGACGACTGGAGCGACCTAAAATAATGTTACAGACACAGATTCAACAAAAAAACTTACACGTACCGTACTGGTTGGCTAAGGTTTCCTACGGCAGCCAATCGTTCAACGAGTGAAGGGCACAACTCGAGAAATTGGTACTTGTTGGCGGCAGCAGTAAATGTAGTACATAAAACCAGGTGCAATTGTAGAACAGGCATTACAGTACCTGTAAAGTAAGAAAAACGTTTTTTAGTTCCATTCCTCAACAAGTCTGCAATTAGATTAATTAGAGTAGGGAAATTTATACACTTTTTAAAAGCTGAAATTACCTAGAAGTAGCAACTGGCTCCTGTAAACTCTCTCTTTGCTATCATATTGTCTTTGAACTTCCATTATCATTGCAGCGTGCGTTTTCGACATCGCTTCTTGCATTCCTTGGCAAAATGTATTGATCGTGTGCTTTTCTGCGTCCATATTCCGCCGAAGCTCGTCCATTAGCCCCTTTAGAGCGATTATCCCATCACGAACCGACGTCTGTAATGGAAAAGCGTAATGAACAGGTAACGGGGATAAATGGGCTTCCGAAGTAGCTACCTGCAAGTCCATTATGGCGTTTTGTCCCCTTTCTAGCCGCTTTGAGGCATGAGTATGAGCGGTATCAATGTCGACGCATTGAGTCCTGACTTCGTTGGGAAGGTCTCGAAAGCAATTGACGCAAAGCATTAAATTTTGGAGAGGAGAGAACATGATGTAGTGCTCTCCATGTTGAGGGCACTGCAGGTTTCAAAATTAATTAAAAAAAAACGTGTTACACGGCTTTACAACTTACTCTCTTAGGTTCCTTTTGGCACTTTGTCATATGAACCACTTCATGGCTAGAGAACATTTTCGCTCGATGTGTAGTGTCTCGGCATACCATACAGAGCGATTGGCCTACAACATGCCAACTTTTTTAAAAGTGCTGTGTAAATTAACGAAAACTTACAGCAAGTATTGCAGTAGAACATATTGGCTCTATCACGCTTGTCGCAGTTGCAGCACGGGGGATTTTCGCTATTAGCAATATCAATTAGTTGCCTCATTAGAGTGTCAGGCGGGGGCAAGAATGTGCCGTCTTTCAGCATAGTAGGTTGCCTGACAAATAAATTAATACACTAGTTAATATTCCTAGAATATTCATAATTACACTGACCGGCAAAAGGGACAAATCAGCTTCCGATCTTGTTCCCGGCCTCTTAAGCATCTGGCACAGAACGTGTGATAACAACTCAAGATACAGGGCTCAGTGAAATAGTCGTGGCATATTGGACAGAGCAAAGGGTTTTTCGGGAACTCCATCCCTGCTTCTAAGCCTGGAGGCTCCATTTCTGCTGTACAATGACTGAAAATTCATAATCAAATATACAATGCCTCGCTCCTTAAACACCCCTTTATCTAATGACCTACATAAGGGAGAGGGTTGATCTTTCACTGCCTTAGCTTTTGTGTGCAGTCAAATAAAACCGAGCTCTTACCTGACAAAGTAGATAATTCCGAATTATTTCTAAACTCACTTAAACAATAACAATAATATATTGCACCAAAAACCAGTTTTCCATCATAAAATTCCCGTTTTGCGCGAGTGCTTGCAAACAATGCGCAGGAATACGTGTGGAGCGTTCACCCGGACCGGGGGAAGGCGATTTTCTCGACTCAAAACTGCCGTTAGACGACAACCGCTATAATCGGGGGGTAGTTTGGCTCAGCAACGGAATATTTACCCTGCTTTCGCCGAAATATACTCGTCTACCTTGTATAATTTCAAAAAAAAAAATATATTTAGTTCTTAACTAGTAACTTAGAGCTAAGAAAAAATAAAAATTGAATAATTTTCCTTATACAATTAAAAACGGGTGCTTCTGTGCGATTTGATGAGGTAAAACCCCTAGAGGGCAATTTTGAAACATTGATGTATCTGGAACAAAAACCGGTTTAGTTTAGGCAAGACCATTCAACAACTGAAACCCACTTTCAATTTTCGTCCATTTACTAGAGGCAACTATTTTCTCCGGTCTGCTACTTTCAGCCAAATGTTCATCTTCTGAACAGCCAATTTCCATATCGAGATCCCGTGGCATCCACACATCAGCCTTAATTGAGTGCAAACCTTCAGTGTTGGTTTTGGCACTCGTCAGGCTTCGCATGCTATCATTAAGATCAGCATCTGACACGTAGTCTAAAATGCTAAAAACAAGAATCAGCAGTTTGCTCATTGTTCTTTTTAACGAGTTCCTACCTGTCCATGAAATACTTTGTAAATTGATTTAGATGAACCAACGCTTGCAGCTTGAAGTTGAAGAACTCCACAATATACGTGTATCGACTTGGTTCAAGATTCAACAGACCGTCCATGTTTTTCTAAAATTGCAAAAAATTATTTTCAAACGACATTAAATCCCTCCTAAAATCTTACATTCTCATTTAAATGCTTCAGAGAAACCATGATTTCGTTTATCCACAAAGCTGCCATCATCTTGGTGGTATCTGAGATTGAAATATTGGCAACGATAGCATGTAATTTCTCGATAATATTGAAAAGTGCCCCGCGCTGATGAAAAGCGCTTAGTAATTTGGCCCAACTGTCTCTAAATTCCTCTGCTATAGCTTGGCCTAAAAAATAGTCAAAACTTCATAAAAAAAATATTTGCCAATGAATGAACCTACCATTCTCTGTAGATTCAAAATGTGGCCTCAGTAGTACTCTAGAAGTAATCAACTCATCTAGGCACCAATCGGGAATTTTAAGACCTTTGTTCAGACGTTCCTTGACCATTTCCAACAAATAATTCGCAATTTCCTGAGGTTCATTCGGACGCTTTTTAAATTTTTTGTAGATCATAGCTGCGATTGACTCAATGTATTCTGCATCTAGATCGTCCTTATCGCAGAGAGCCAGATTAAAAGCGAAGTAGGCGCTTAGAGAGCTACTTAGCTGATCGTCCAATTCTGGAGTGTCCTCAACAAAATAATCTAAAAGTCGGTCTATTTGAACCCAAATATCAAAAATCTAAAATCGTGGTTTTCAACCTTTGATAAGTTTACTTTGCGGCTCCCAATACTTCTCCTTAAGCCATGCCAAACCAAAGTCTAATCCCATTTTCAGGCTACAAAACGAGGGAAGTTGATGTCCGTGAGCCACATCATGTCTCAAGTTCACCAGCCACTTTGGTAGATCGTTTTTCACGGATGTTTTGGTGAATAAACCTTGTTTATCTGCATTGGCAGCTGATAGGTTCAGAAACCTAACAAATTAGAGTTGGTTAGTTTTTAAGTGATTACATTTTCGCGTCTATCTGTTTAAAAATTTAGAATTTCCAATATGTAAAAAACATTCTTCAATTCAATACCTCATTAGTGCAATTGCATAGATATTCGAAAGGTTCTCAATAGGCATTGATTCTGGGGCGATCAACAAAGCATCGAGTACAATCAGGGTTCCTTCCACTCCAGTACAGAGAATCGGGGTTCTCAATTTCCACATTTTTAGCAGATCCAGAGCTTCCAGTTGCTTTTCGCGATAGTTCGAGTAAATTAACCGGAATGCATAGCGCCATTCTTCACTGCAAATTGCCGTTCGTTTACCAATAAATTTTAGGGCAAATCTTGTACAAATTACCTGTTAAACCATGGAACCAACAGCAAACCGGTATGCTTTTGAGATAGCGACATTATCAATAATCGCTTGGAATCAACCTGAACTGTTCTAGAGGCTGGAAATAATTATGGTAAGCTTGTGACCGGCGAAAAACATCAATCATTGATATTCAAAATGCTTTCTGGAAAAATCTTAGGTTAGGTCCAGGTTAGGTTGTACTGCACATGCACAATGACACCAATTATTGTCACAAAGTCAGGGTTAGAAACCCCAGTGTTACCATCACAAGTTTCTGGGTTGTCACATTTTGTCATTTCACATAACCTGAAATATTGTTTAGGGAAAATAAATCAACAAGTGCAAGTACACAATCGTGCAAAATTCCCATCAGTGCTCACATATGAGAATAATCCGTGATTAATTAACATTTAGAACAATTTTACATGCCCATGTACCGATCTAAATGCGGTGCATCGACTTGCTGACCCTGGTTCCACTTCATTCTGAATGTTTAGAATGATAATTTCCTGTTCACACAATCTCTAGATTAAGATGCTGGTGAAATGTCGGCGTTTAAAGAAAATCTACTTCAAGATAGGCCTGGGTTTGGTTCTACTGGGGTTCGTTTTGATAGTCTACATGAAACACCTAGATGAGAAGCTGGACATTGGAGTAAAAGACAATCTAGTTTTAAATGAAAATAAATTAGAACAACGAATAAGTGAATGGGAATCGAAAATCATACCGGGTAAGAAAAGCAAAGGTCAATGCCATCGACTGGGTTTAAATGCGGTTTCTATAGGTTTAGGTGACAATGGGGAGCCAGCATTTTTAGAGGGAGAAGATGCCATTGAGGGCGAAAAATCCCAAAAGAAATTCGCTTTAAATACTGTTCTAAGTGATAGAATGCCTTTAGATAGAAAACTGAGGGACCCAAGAAACAGCAAGTAAGTCTCATTGCGCTGCAAAGCGTGAGAATTGATAAGTTAATGGTTTGGGAAACAATAATAATTCCCATTATCCACTAGGAAATACTATTTTGCAATATGGGAATTGCTGATCTTAGATATGTAGAAGCTACTGTCGACAATCGGTCAATTTAGAAGCGGTTCGACGGTTTTTTTTCAGTTATTAATACAATACTTTTTGTTGTTATTCCAGATGCAAAGAGCTGAAATATTCACCCACTATAAAAGCGTCAATTATTGTGATATTTTATAATGAACTCATGTCTGTTATCCTGCGAACCGTTTGGAGTGTTCTTTTACAAACACCCAGCCACTTACTACAGGAAATTATTTTAGTTGATGATTGCAGTACGGATGGTAAGATTATCAAAGCTAAAAGGAGCTATTTTAACTTAACTTCTTTGCATTTCAGATCACTTAAAAGATTTACTGCAATATTACTTAGATACTAGATTAAAGAGCTACAATATAAAACTTGTGAGGTTGAAGCACCGCATGGGACTGATTAGGGCCCGATTGCAAGGGGCTCGAGTGGCTCAAGGCGACGTACTGATATTTTTAGGTAACACCCATCCACAACCAACCTGCTTTTCAGGTAATAGTTAATAAAAATTGTGTGTAATCAGATGCCCATTGTGAAGCAACTAAGGACTGGATTGAGCCTCTTCTGGCGCGGATCGAGGAAGACCGCACAGCGGTTTTAGTGCCTATTATTGACGTGATCGAAGCTACCAACTTGGGCTACTCAACTAATGGTAATTAATCATCACAATCAGGAACAAAGTGAGAGGAAACGAATTGTTTAATTTTTGAATAGGAGAACTAAATTTCCAAGTAGGAGGCTTTTCGTGGTCAGGTCACTTTACCTGGATAGACATTCAAGATGAAAATGACAAGGGGAAAGTGAAACCAGTGAAATCGCCGACGATGGCTGGCGGGCTTTTCGCCATTGATAGAAGATTCTTTTGGGACATTGGATCCTACGATGAGCAAATGGATGGATGGGGAGGCGAAAATCTGGAAATGTCTTTCCGTATCTGGCAGTGCGGTGGAAGGCTTGAAACGGTAACAATTCCGATATATCTCATTACGTTGTGGTGTTTGCAATAATTGTTGCAGGTTCCTTGCTCAAGGGTGGGTCACATCTTCCGAGACTTCCACCCCTATTCGTTCCCAGATAATAAAGATACCCATGGAATAAACACTGCCCGCCTAGCTCATGTTTGGATGGACGAATACAAGCGCTTGTTTTTCATGTATCAGCCCGCCTTGGAAAACAATCCGATTGTCGGAGACTTAACTCATCGAAAGCAGCTAAGACAGAAGCTGAGATGCAAAAGCTTCAAATGGTACTAGTTTGCGTAGGTTGCATGAGCATTTGACTAAATGGGGAAGTTTCAAGGTACCTACAAAACGTTTACCCAGAGAAATTCATCCCCGATGAGAACGCTTTCGGGTATGGCCAAGTAAAGACTGACTTCCAAATGTGCTTGGACGATCTCCAGCTTCCAGAGGACAAAGTAGGACCGTTGGGCCTTTATCAATGTCATCAGTTCTTCGCGGTGTCTCAATACTTTTCCCTAAGCAACAACGGAGAATTGAGAAAAGTCGGCAACTGAAAACAATGATTATCAAACACACTAAACGTGAGTTTTAGGAAAATTTCTGCGCTGAAGTGTTTAACGAACACGAAGTCCACTTGACTGAATGCCACGGCCATAAACGCGAACAGTACTGGAAACTGTTCGAAAATGGCACCATTTACAACCCAGCTTCAAAAAAATGCCTGACCAGCGACCGCGTAGAGAATGGAAAAGGGGTGCTGGTGGCACCCTGTAAAGGCGACGTGTTCCAAAAGTGGACGTTTAGTCATCTTAATAAAACGGCAATTGGCGCTTAAGTAGCCCTGTTATGCCTTAGAAAGGAAATAAGTGTTAAGGTAAGAGGGATTTTGATTAACCATAGGGTGAACAATTCGATGTTTGTTGCAGAACTGTTAAAGTATGCATAGTTTACCACAGTGGGTGAATATTCTTCGAGGTTTATTCAAATTCTGTTTTGAAATATCATTGAAAGACTGTTCTGCTCGTATGGGGCTCACCGCCTTTGTGAATGATTGATGGGAATGAAATTAATAAAACATTTGATTTATATTTTTTTTTATTTGCTTATTCTCAAGATTACAAGTTTCCTCTTCATTAGTCCTTAAGGGTTTCAAATTTATTAGTGAAAGCAAGTTGGAAGCGTCTTGCTTTTCCTGAAGCCGCCGATGTTTTCCGATCAGAATGAATGAAAAAGAGAAGATTGACCGCCGATCGATAAATACATACTGTTTTTTTCTACTGCGCTCTGTCGATTTTTAGACCGATTTTTATGCCGCCCCGGAAAAGAAATCGATCGCGAATAGTCCTGAGCGAAGCGCACCCTTAAGCGGTAGCGTAATCAGCACCGGAATGAAGTTTTTAGTTCGATTTTTTCCTGACAATCTCATCCTCTAGTCGCCGCAAACAAAAGCTAGGCTGTTTTTTGTTATGTTTGTGATATTTTCTTTGACTTGGGATGAAAGAGGTAATAAGTATATTAATATCAACCGTTTCAGGGTGGTACTACTCCAAAATGGTGCCTGGCATTTTTTGCATGATATTTTTGCGCATTCGCCAATATGTTCAGTATATATGTAAAGAGCCTTAATTCCAATTCCGCGTAAAATTCAGAATTATTGTTCGCTTGTAAATCTGTATTTCCTTTGACTTGGGAAGAAAGAGGTCATAAGTCTATTGAGATCAACCGTTTCAAGGTGGTATTACTCTAAAATGGTGCCTGGCATTTTCTTGGAAGAGTTTTGCGCATTCGCCAACATGTTCAGTATAGAGGGAAAGAGTCAACTCCAATTGCGCGTAAAATTCTCCAGGATTACTGTCCACTGGAAAATCTGTAAAAAATAGAGAATCTTATTCTTTTCAATAATTTGATTCAATCACTGTCCATCAACTTCCAGTCTATAGCCACTAAGGACATTATTTAAACTAAACTTTTTCCATAGTTTTTCGCGTTCAGTACCGTCATCTCAAATAGCCAGCTTCACCTTCTTACCTTTGTGAATTTTGCGCTGTCATTTGCGACTTTTAGAAAGTTTACTCTTTTATATTTATTATCTACTCTTTATACATGTCGAGTTCTTCGAGAACCGAAAGCAATCATCCCAGTCATTGCTCCACATTGGCTTCATCTCGCACGAACACAGTCAGTACTTTTACAAGCCGATATTCGTGCGATTGCGATGAAGAAGCAAGGCAAAAACTGCGCGCAGTTATTTGCATAAAATCATCCCTGGCAATTTTCACTTTGCTTGGCGGCGCGTTTTTGGCCCTCACCATTAACGTTTGGAGTAAGCGGACTTTCTGGTAAATTTTCGCTCTCAACTTCTACTCTCGTAGGTCGCTCACATGCAAACGATGATGATTTACCAAACACGTTGTATCAAATTACAGCGAATCTGGGAACAGGACTGTGCCTAAACAGTAACGAGTACAACGGGCTGATACTGGTAAACTGTACTGGTCTGCAGAACCAGGAACAGAAGCCTTTTATCTACGACGCCAAGGCAGGAAAAGTTAAAACGGTAATAACAATTTGACTGTCTTTTGCACGTTTTCAATGAAAAGCGTACATTTTGCAGGAAAAGGGTTGCGTAGAACCGTTGGGCGATAAAATAGATCATATAGGTGACGAACAAAGTGTGTACCCAATTAATGTGAATCCATGTGTTTCTGATCGCAGAAAAGGCAGGTACGAGTATACGTCGAATAAAACAGTGAAAACGCAACATTCGGGTGCCACAAAGGCATTATTCTTATAGGGGGCAATCATGGAAAGCATGGAAACCAAGCAGCGGTAGCTTCAATTTGTATAACAACAATCAACGCAATTGCCTCACTGGACTTGGCGAAAACCAAATGGTAATATTAACTGAATGCTCAGAGGCTGATCTTAAGCAGCGTTGGGGCTTCACAACTCCTGAAAATATGCGAGAACTTCTTTACGGTGAATCGCGTGTGAAGGAGTACGTTTGGGTGGATGGTGCTGAAAAAGTTTGAAGTTTGTTCTCAAACTGTTCCTTTGCTTATTTGTATATTTTTTAAAATATACTTGATATTCTTTAGAACGCATTGTATTCGGGTTTTGTAGATGGAAAGTTTTAAAGTTTGCGTGCCGGAAAAAATTGCAAACAAGGGATTGGAATGTATTATTGTCATGTGTGGAGGAATCAGCAAATTGGCAATTTCATCGTCTGAACTGGTAATTGGAAGTGGGCGGTCGCCCCCAAGAAAATATCCAGAATCGCCCCACATAATAAAAAGGGGTTTGGAAGAATTCCTAACAATTTTTCCAGCAAAGTGTAACGGAATTTTTAACAATAATCTACTATTTATTGGCAAACTTCATGCACAGCTTTAAAAATTAAAACGCGCGTCTTCTACGAATTACACTTTTCAGCCCATTCCTCAGCACTCAGTGTGATCGGCTCCAGAAGCCTCACGTAATCATCATAGGGACAGTTAAATTCACAATCGGGCAATATCAGCTCGGTAAAATGCGTGCTGTTTTTAAAGTACATGTTCACATAGGAGCCAGTTCTTCCAGTTTTTAGCTCCCAGATTACCGTGGAGCAGAATTCTGGAACGGCATCCACATAAACCCTCATGGCGTTGGTAACATCAGCTACCGTGGTATCGTGGGCGCTCAACATTAAGAACTTTTGCGTCACTTTATCGGTTAATTGCAAAAGTTGCTGCCTTGGTCCTTTCAGGTGCTCAGTGGCTGTTGACGAATTTCTCTCGATGGAGTCCAGATGGCCTAGAATATAGTCGAAGAATGGCCCGACTCTGAGCCTGGACAGTTCCGTTGTGTTGGTGTGCCATTGCCCTTTTTTCGCCGCCCAGTATTTTATTACCGGCCAATACTCTTCGGTCCAAGCGGGCAAAGTCAAGTTATAGTGGCGATAAATCGTGATGGTGGAAAAGAGGCCGGAAAAAGAGGAAACCTCCAACTCATTCACATCGTAGCCAGTCAGCGCAGATATGTTTTGAAATAAATCACTCAAACCACTGCTTAAGCTCGTATATGCGCTGGAGTTCTTGAACTCTTCGAACAGTTCATCATAGCTGGCGCATTCAACTTTCGTGGTCAATACTGGGTCCAAGTCTTCTGGAGTGGTGTGAATTGGTATCGGCTAGAAGATATGGGAGTTATGAACTGAAAAACTCACTGAACTTATTATTACCACTTTTAAGGAAACACCCACACAAACACAGTGCACATGAAGGGAAACGCTCACATATGTTGAAACAGAGGCACCTTAATATTAACAGCACTAATGTTTCCGACACTGTTGATGGACGATTTTTTGTACAGAATGTTGGATGTTGGTGATAAATGTCGAAATTTTCGAAAGACTCAACGGGAAAGGCATTTTTCGCAAGAAATATTGTAACCAAAACTTAGCGCTCTCAAGTTCCTTAAGCTGTTCCGGGTTGTTCAGATTCATGCACCAACCGCTTTTGAACTCAACCTGTAGCTGACTTACTGCTCATTAAAACAGCACATGCTCTGCAACGTATATTAAGAAAAAACACCCCTAGGCATTACATTCCTGTGTCCATTCCTGCAACGAAGTAGTGATGGGTTCCAAGGTCCTAATAAAATCCTCTAAAGGACAGTTAAGCTCACACCCGGGCAATGTGAGCCGCTCAAAGTTGGTGGTGTTTTTAAAGAACACGTTCACGTAATTGCCGTTTCCCCCCTCTCTAAGCTCCCAGATGACTGTGGAGGAGAATTCCGGAACTGCATCGTTATAAACCCCCATTGCATTCAAGCGGTCAGCTACTGTGGTATCGTGAGCGCTGAACACCAGAAATTTAACTGCAGAGCTATCGGTCAGCTCTACAAGTCGCTGCCTGGGGCCTTTAACGTGCTGATCGGGCTCTACAGCTCTAGAGGAGACGGCTTGCAAGTGATTGATGAGATAGTCGAAAAACGGACCGACCCTCAATCTGGCCAGTTCAGTCGTGTACGTATAGAGTTGAAAGTTTAAGGCGGCTAAACTAGCAATTTGTTCCCAGTAAATGTCGGTCCACTCGGGCAAAGCCAGATCGAACTCTTTGTAAATCCGAATTGTTGAATACATCTCGTCTAAGCTGGTGATATCATTAATCGAGGCTCCGGTGGCTTCAGAAATGTCTCTGAAAAATTCCTCAAGCTCAGCATTTAATTGTTTGAATGGCTCGGAACTCAACAACTCATCAACCAACTGACGGTGCTTAGCACAGCTGGGAGTCGCCACGATGGCATCATCAGATTGTGGAACGGTGTGAATTGGTATGGGCTGAAAAATTTGTTCGAAACATGTTCACCAATGGATTTAAAGTGGCGCTTATGAGGGCAGGGGGTTTATCGATTGGCTGCAAATAGAGAACTCACCTGCCACAAGAGGTTCTCGTTCCAGATTTGATCGCCCTCTGGCGGATAGAGCCCGGCTAAGTTCGATGCTGCGGACATCAAAGTCCGATCGACGTCGGTGGAACGGACGTAGATGTCGTGGTAGTTGTATTTTCTCGGCAAAAATCCATCGTAACGTTCACGGAACCATTTACCCAACTGGTAGTGACGTTGCTTACCCATCTGGAAGCAAAAACATTTTACCGCCCAGTAGAATCAGTTGAACACTAGATGTAGAATCTACATCTAGTGAAAATCTTAATATAAATCTAGGAGTTTGTATATGAGTTAGAGCAGAATGTAGACATTAATCAGATAAATTCCTATCAAAGTCTCTATATCTCTTATACTAGTTTTAAAGCAAGAGTTAAGAAAATGCAATCGACCTCTTGACTAGTCAGGTGTTTTTGCATATGACCAGGTGATACTTTTTCACAGAGAAAAATCTGCTAGGAGACAGCATATCGGATCCATCTGAAGTATCCTTTGAACAGATACGATTGAATCGTCACTTGAGAAAACACTTGATTGGTTCCATCCGATGATCGAATTAGAGTTTAATTAGTAACTTACGTTATTTAATTGTCCGTAACCGTCTGGCCAAAGCGATGTGTTGGTGAAATAAACGTCGTTTGGCCACGAACTGAGCGGAGAACGGTCTCCATGTCGGTAGAGCTGAAAAAATTACATTAATTGAACATAACAAATATATAAACGAAGATTATATGGGATTCATTGCGGCAGTTTCCCGAGCTTCTAATACCATTAAATAAGGAAACATTGATTAAATAAAAGGCAAACCATGTGAGGAAACATCATTAAATATTTTATAGGAAATGCAGCAATTCGGGCGCAAATTGGAAAAAATCGCTTCCTCCATCCAAGCTTGGATTCCAGCAAAGTCCCGGGACTCATCATGCATTCAAACGCGCATAAAACATTCGACGCAAAAAATTTAAATATTTACAAAGTAACAAATTCAATTTAATCAACATTAAAAAACCTTCCAAAAACAACAATTGAGCTACTTGAGCTACTTACAACAATAACAGCTTTCAAGTCATCTTCCTCTTTGTATGGAGCGGCGGCACCACAAAGCGCTGCTAAAGCAAACGCAGTCAAAAGCCTTAGCCACATCATTCCCTACCGTTCGAACAACAAGTCAAAAAGTGAACATTTGCCGTCCATCAAATTTACATAGGTGGTATCAAACCGCGAAAATTCGATAAGATAGTTTTAAGTATGTGGGTGCTTAACAATCGTTTTGTCCTCCACGAGGATAAAAAGTAATTTAAACCTTATCAATGGAAATGATGAACGTCTGCGAATCAGGTGAGGTTGAGTTAATTGCTGATACCAAACTGCGGACTTAGAAATGGAAGAAACCGTCTCCTGGAGCCCAATCAGGCGCTAAAACTCTCTCTCCTATTGCAAATTTATCACACCTCGGCCATTCAGCTTTAAATTAGATTAAAGATATGGGAGTAAGCACCGTCAAATTTGCCATAAAGCTTTTATAGTTGGTGCTATGGCTTGGCATGACAAATAAGTTCTCCAATTTATCGTCGCGGTTTGGCAACAATAAAACGTTAATGAGAACTGGGAGACAAAGTCGTTTTCCTGATGTTGCCGGAGGTTGTTCGGATTGATTTCAATTCGCCTGCTCGCACTGGAAATGGCTGGAAAATCTCAACTAATTTACCATCGGAGTGACGGTTCACGACATTCATACGCCCAAAATTGTTCCAGATTTAATATGGAAAGTACTTAGAAGTGAATGGTAACAGAAGAGCAAGTGATCCAGAAAGTAGGCCTAAGTGAACACACATTTTTGTAACAACTCATCGATAATGAAAGTCAACTTTGGTGTCTGTTTTCTTCACTTTGATAAAGAAATCGCCATTAGAATAGTTGAAATGGTCGGTAGCTAGGTTGAGGGAACGAAAAAAGGGGACAACATGACGAATATAGTTTAGGACTTTGCATATAGAACAGGAGAATTTTAAGAAACATCCAAAGCGCTGAAAGTTCATAATACGAGCAAATAAGTTGCACGAAAATAAGAAACTCACACCCAAAAATTGGACAAAGAATCAAAAGTAAAACAAAACTGAACTGACTAAGCGCACACAAACAGGAAACTCGCAAAAGTCGCAAAACAACTCATCTAAAATACAGAGTTTAGTAGCTTTGGGAAACAATAATGATCGAACTGAATCTCTCACTAAAAATATTCTATAATATAAACGCGTCCTTTAAATCTGCCAACTTTGCCCATTAAACTCAATCTTCAATTTTTAGCACGCTTCTTTAAAAAACTGCTACCCACAAGATCACCCTGTATATAAGTCACACGTTATGAGTTCATTCAGTTCACGAGTCAAGTACATGAAACACTATTTATTGGTTCCAAAGTCTGCTAAGTGATTTGATATCTTTATTAGCATCAACTAAAATCGATGTATCCATAACTTAAAAAAAAATTGACTTCAATGGGTTTGATATTTTATCGTCAAAACTGTGGTACTCGCAGCCATTCCGAGGTTAATAGTTTTAAGAATTTTTTGAAAAACCCCAATTAGGGATGGTCGGTATTTAACGTAACCGCTATAATAACATTATTACAAACGTGTAACCTGAAACCTTAGTTACAGCTAGCAGATTTAAACGGTTGTTTTTGGAACCGTCTCATAAACCCGAAAAAATTATTTTTAAACGTTAGTTCATTTTTAAATGAAAATTAGATTTTTAAACATTTGTGCAAATATCAGTGATCAGTTTTTATTTATATATTTTATCTAGTTTATTATCAGTTCTTTTGTTCTTTAATCAGGTACTTCTGACCAATGTTGTGTTTTTTATTTTAGAATATTTATTTTATCTAAGAGCTTTAGTTAAGAATTATTCTTTTAATAAACTAAATCATTATTTGTCATTACTATTTCTACCCTCATCATCATTGCGCATGTTTAATGAAAAATTTCAAAAGTAACATGTTCCTTTTGGAACCCCATTTTGAAACCTATTACAAACGTGATACTGGAACGTTGGAACCTTGTTCCAGAAAAATAACCGTTTATCTCACCTCTAACCCCAATACTCACAGTCGCACCTAACTTTTTCATGGTTCTGCAAGTCCATGATACTTGTATTGCTACTAATTTCGAGATCTTTTAGCTTGAAACCGATTTTACTTTAAGTCGTTTTGAGGTGAGGGTTTCAAGCATTTTTTGAAAAATGTCGCCACCTCGACTTCTAAAGATGATTACCGAGATTATGAGTGGTTGCTGTTTATTATTTCACTGGCAAATGATGTTGGCTATAAAATTGATCGATTCTACTCCAAAGTATCTACTAGAGACTAAATATATAAATTTTGGCATTCAAACGTTTTAATAATCTCTGGAAATAAAGAAAGTGATATTTTCAAGCTTTTCAACACCTTCCCAGGACGTAACAGCAATTTCGATTGTACGTTATTCTCTTAATAACTCTCTGAATCTTGGCCCCAATTGGATCGTTAAGACTGGGTTGTAAAGAGCACAATCTTCTGTCGCAATTTGGAAGTCGAGCAAGAAAAAATATTTTTCACACTTTGGGCAACCTTGGAATGGATTTCAGTGCCAAACAAGCCTTTCCGGAAACGAAAATCGCACTTTCGTTAAACAAAATAAAATTGCGTCTATGTTTCCCAAAAATTACGGTTGAGAAACCTGAACTCGGTTAGAAAACTGGAAAATTATGAGGCCGGTTATCCAATTTTGAAGCCAAAAATATTTTGAAATTTCACACTTCATGTTAAAGCCAGATGCATTTAAATGTCGAAAATTATTCAGAATTGTTATACTTTGGGCAAACTTTAGGTGCATTTGAGCGCTAATAATGCGTTTTTGGAGAAGCAAATGGAAATATTTTATTAAAATTGTACGCAAACCTGAAATTTTGAAAAAAATTCTATACGCTCGCTTACTTAAAAATTCATATCTCCCAGGCTAAAGCAGGCTGAGAGTTGCATCTTTTACCATCTTTAGCAGACACTTGACCCTATACACTTAGAAAGTTTCAGAAAAATCCATCTAAAACCTGATTTTTGCCGGCTTTGTAAATGTGACTCACAAAATTGATGGTGTCTGTCAATTGCGCCCGCTTTAACTTAAAAATTCGAATCTCCCACACTAAAGCACGCAGGCATTCGGGTGTTTGGTTTAAAATAAGTAGGCTTGAGACAACTTATGGTATAACCGGAAGTCGCACAATGCCGCTGTTATTTCATCTGAAAAGAGCGTTTCCGAAAATTCGATTTTCCAAATTTGCGGGATTCAAATCGCAATACTTCCCGAAATGTTCTAGTGGACGCTGACGGTGAGACACCCTGTATAAAACTAAATAAAATTGACTACTGCGTACATCAGAAAAATACTTAAAATTTCCTGCGCAGGAAAATCCAGAAATGAATTTATACCTATAGTGGGAAAGTCCAACACTTTCAGACAGAAATACGAAATTTGATTTATTTACCAAAAAATAAATCTATTGAGTTAATGAGTACGTGAGTAGGATAATGTTTAAAAAAGTGAGTTGAGATGAAGGCAGTTGCTAGATTGTTTAAATGCAATTGAAACTTTGTCTTGCTCTCAGCGCTTAGGCGCATTTTGAAAATATCCTCACACAAATGAATGCCTTGAAGTTTTTTTCCAGTCAAGTTTCACACCCGTGTAACGTTACATTCTAGCTACAGGACTTTATATCTTTTGCAACGCCAATTGTCTTGAAATATGTCTTTGCACATTGCGAAACTCCGAGCTACAAAAATCCCCATATGTTTCCTCAGCTTCATTTAGTGCAGCAACACAAAGCGAGCGTCAAAAAGGAAAATAAAAACAACATGAAATTTACAGTCCGCCCTATTAAAACTCATTAAGCTGCGAAACGCGCACATAAAATGCAAATGATTAAATTTGGGCATGGTAAATTCAGTTTTTTATCGCCGTTTGAAGTGCCGAACTGATGTGCAGTGATAATGTTTTTGGTGCACAATTCATTTAGGTTTCATGCATATGGGGGTGGCGGTTTGAAGGGCCGGTTCCGCCACTGCTTTCAGGGCGCGACCCGTACAAATTATCGTAGAAAAGCCACCCGTCGATAAAAGAAAAAGAGAAATGTCAGATGCAACCCGATATCGCCGATGACACCCTATCAATTCGCCAGACCTATCAAATCGATTGGAAGTAATAAAATGCCGGACCCGGCCCTAATCAACGTCATAAAAGAACACCACGGGAACTTAGGGTGTAACCATACCGGTTCCAATAAATAGTAATTGAAATTGAATTGCCACGATTTAAATTAAACTCCTAACTAGGGATGGTCGGTATTTAACGTAACCGCTAAAATAACATTGTTACAAACGTGTAACCTGAAACCGTAGTTCAAGGGCTGATCCAGGGGGGG